TAATTTTGTTGCATGCTCATTCTATGCCATTGTGTGAAATTGATTTATGCATGTCTTTTATTTTATTTTTTATTTTATTTACTTTTGATTGAGTTGTCATTTTACTTTGTGTTGTGTTCCGTGCATTCTGTTTTTAATTTCTATAAAAAAAAAGGGAAATAATTTTTTTTTTCAAAATGAGGACATTCATTTTTCAGCTTAACATATGATGTACTTGATTTTGTTTGTTGTGATCAAGCATAGGGCTAATCGATAAGCTGTATCATGGTTTCCATTATTGGTTTAGGTTATTCATGGAATACTTAGTATAGGTGTCTTTATGTACCTTCTGCATTGCACACACTATGATCTTGTCAGTGGGATTCTACCGCGTGTGTGAGATTTGGAATGACAATCACATGTTAATAAGGTGGCTTTGAACATGATTTGACCATATGTATTAGACATAATCTCAAGTTTATCCTTGGTATTATCAACAATAAAAATAAAAACAAAATAATCATACAAAGAGCTCAATATCTTATGTTTTTTTTCGTAGCCTATTTGACTCGAGTAGTTAAGCTTGCGGGGTGTCTCATAACCTGGTGCCTATGGTCGACTGACTTGGGTTAACCGACATAAACTTCGCTACATAGGTCATTTTAGTCACTTAATGAAGAAGTCTGCACTTAAGATGAAAAATAATGATGGGCTTCGTTTATTGAATGATATGACACAAATCATTTTGCTCATACTCAGGGAGAGAAATAGTGCTTCCATTTATAATGAGCTTTCCGTTATAGGTCCTAATGTGCTTTACATGGTTTGTTTTTCATTAGTAGGGGAATAAACTTATTGGCAGTGATGTTTCTCGTATCATTTCTCACAAATTTAAGGTCTGGAGTCCTATTTTCAAAGGATTAGTGACACTTTACACATATAGGTCGTTTATACAATTTACTCAATGATAACTTGAACTAAGTATGTGGGAAGGTATACCGTTCATTGTTTATTTTTGTGCATGATTCATACAGTATTTTCAAGTTATTACGTGTTAATGCTCATATTTCTTAATAAAAGTGAGGGCGCAAAGCATTTTTTTTATATTCTTTGATTACAATATTGCCTTTGTCATTTTGTGACAAAAAGAGACAGTGGATGTTAGATGTTTTGGGGTTTTGGAGTATATATTTTTGTTTTAACAGGATGTATATGTTTTATCTACTACTTAATGTATCTAAACTTTTGATTATATGATGTATTTTCAGTTTTTGTTAGATTAAATTTTGATATTTTAGTAGTATCAATGTTTCATTTTTGGTATCTTGGGTTGCATTGATATTACATCTTAATTTAACATATGATATGAAACTGAAAAGTTGCATTGGGCATTGGCTTCAATCATGGACAGGTCAAGGATATCTTCTCTCCAAAAGACCATTACAATTTATTAACTACTTAAATCACTTTTTAGACTATGAACTGATTGAACTATCTTTACACTTAATACCGTTTCACATACATTTTACACTAGGTATTTGAGTTGTCTATTTTAGGAAATAGGTATTGAAAAAATGAAATACAGAATTCGTTCAAGACAGTTATTGGTTGCGTAAGTTGATTTGAGTTTGTAATTTTTATACTACCTTGACTTAGATAGTAGTTTTGTCACAGAATGTCAAATTGAGAGTTTGTTAGATATTTAATGTAATTGGCTATTCTGTGAGAAAAGGGACTAAATTTGATATGTTGTAAAAAGTCAAGTAATAGAGTGCAATTAGTATAAATTATGATATTTTAGGTTTAGGGTTGGAGAATGGGAAAGAAGAAAAAATGGTGCGAAATTTCGCTAGCATTTCGTCAAGGTTGGGCTCAAGCATCAGAAATAGAAACTTCATTGCTAGACTGTCGCCTCATCTTCGCTCGAGCGACAACCTGTCGTTCGACTTTCGCTAGCCCTTCGCTCGAGCGACAGTGTGATTAAGAAAATTTTTATTTAGTTTCTTAAAAGCTTTTTATCCGGCCCATTCATTCCCTAACCTACATATAAATAGTCAAACGCCACAGAATGTAAATTGTGAGGTTGAAGATTGAGAGAAACATATTCCTTTGAGATGATCTTCATATAATTGCTTTCAACCTTCATCTTGATTTGACTTTTGGCGGTGAAAATATCATATTCATAATCCAAATACCAAATTGTTGATTTCTGCATATCTGTCAAATTTTTTGAAAATCAAGGGAAGGTGACTGGAGTTCAAGTCATTGAAGAACGCAGTGTTCTTCGTGAATTTACAGGAAATAAATGATTTCACAAAGTTAGGAGTTGCTGCATGAAAGCACAATCCATGAGAGCTTGGGAAAATGTAGCTGAGAGTGGTGCATGAGCACAAAATCCAGGAGAGCTGTTGGAATTGCAGTCAGGAGATCAGATAGTACATGTCGTCGTCTAGTCTGATAGATTGTAAGTTATAAATCGTTTATAGTGGATTGTTGACTGGCAAAGTGCACGGCGTCTTTACACAATTGGGGTTTCTTCATGATCATACCATGCGTTATCTATTATTTTATTTACTGTTATTATATTATGCAGTATTTAAATATAGGATAATCAGATTATATGCTTAATCATCTAGAGATAATTAATTGGGGACATGTTGCTAATTAATTAATATTTTTAATTCTGCATAATATTCCTATTCATCCCCTCTAGGTATTGTTAGGATCGAACTACATAATTTTTACATAATATCAAATTGCTATTAATTATAAATTTTTAATTCCGCATTTACACATAGTCACCTTCCTCTAGGTGTAGTTTGGGTCGAACTGTGTACTTTAATAATATATGCCTAGTAATGCATTAATAGAATAAAAAAAAACTTTCAAAAAATTTATCACGTGAAATATAATTTCTCAATCACTCTTTTAAATTATTTTTTGGGTCGTGTATGTTTCAGATGTAATAAACAGTAATAAGATGTTAGTAGCCTTAATAAAATTTTAGTAAAGGGTGAGTTGAGTTCCATCTATAACCTATATCGGTGACAAATATACTTAGGGTTTAGTCCATTTTCTTTACGATATTTATATAAAGGTTATTTCCTATTAGGAGATAGGGACACTATTGTGAACTAAACAAGGCCGACCCAACTAACACCTAGAGAGGGTGAATATGTGTAATAAACAAAAATAAAAATAATTGCAATAAGTCATAACTTATTGAATTTAGATGATTTGAAAATAATTTAAACCCTAACACTCAATCAAGCAAATATATCAAAACAGAAAAGTAATCAACACCAAGATTTGTTTACGAAAAAACAGCCCATAAAGAATTCTTCAAGAGGAAAAACCTCTGAGCATACGTGCCAATAAATAATCCACTAGAAAATATTAAACTTACAAAAGTGGTTCAGACACAACTAAATAGTAGTGGACTTTGACCCCCATCTACAAGCACCAAATTATTCATTGGTCATGCGCTCCAGCACTAACTCTTGAATATCTGGACTTNAAAAAAAAAAAAAAAAAAGCCCTTAAAGAATTCTTCAAGAAGAAAAACCTCCGAGCATAAGTGCCAGTAAATAATCCACTAGAAAAGATTCAACTCACAGAAGTGGTCCAGATACAACTAAATAGTGTAGTAGACTCTGACCCCCAACCTGTAATCACCTAAGAACTCCTTGTTCGTGCGCTCCAGCACTAACTTTGGAATCTCTGGACTTCTTTTCTTCTTGTGAATTACCAAGAGTGAACTCGTTCTTCAAGAATCAGAACTCCAATCACCTCTCTGGATCTTCAAAATTCTGAAAGATATTTGGTGGATGTTTATTGGTGTTTTTGATCTTTTGAATTTTTGATCTTGTGGTTGAGGCAAGAGAATTATGGAATAAGTATTTGATCTTCAATAATATATTCTCTTGCATGAATAATGACTTAACACACTTTTGGGATGAAATTTGGTTTGGTATATATTGTATTAGAGAGTTATGGATTGTTCAGAATTGTAAAAAGATTGAAAATCACGAACTAGAGTTTTTTTTTTTTTTTGGATTACACAACCGCTCGAGCAGACATCAGGCGGCCTACTACCGGAAAAAATGGCTCAAGCGGCATTTGGGCGTTCGTTGATTGCTTTTGGACATTACTTGATTTTCTTGAACAAAAAATTATACCATTCCAAGGACACTCCCAACACCCGACAACTCAACCCTAAATACAACTCGATTAAACAACATTTTGGACACCGAACTTTACCAATACACTTTAGACCTAACGAACTCCCCTTTCGACATTACGTAACAAAATCATTTATTTCAAATACACAATGAATAAAATCTAACTCCAATCAACCTAATGACTCAAAATCACCAATGCATCTTAATTGCTTTGTTATATCTGTTTCCTGAAACACAGTGTAAATAGTCATCAAATGGGAAGTGTGGTAAAATTGTGGAATAATTATTGTTAACACTTATCATGATACTCAGATAAGTCTGGTCACCTAATGTGGAGGTTTGTATTTTAATCCATTTGTAAATTCCATTGAAATCCTATACATAACATGGTTATGGTAAAATAGATACCTTAGTTTTAACTCTCTATTCTATTTTATACGAGTAATGTTTTTTACAGTTTCTCGCTACTGTAGTCGTCTTACGTGATATATATGGACAATTTATAATTTCATGTATGAGGTAATAAAAAACTAACACATTAATGCATCAAATCACTAACCGCCGTATGTATGCCACATAAGACGACTACGATAGTGAACGACGGCAATTAACATTAATTATTTTCTACTCTTATTCTTTCTTTCCTTCTAAATTTTTTAACAATTTTACAATCTCAAGATTAATGAAATTTTGATGTAAATTAGCTCCTGCCTCCTCTGGGTAACACTTCAATTAATATTTGTTTACAGCTAATCTCACAAGTACATGAATAAATTACTCGTACGGATCCATCAGGCTGTAATTAAATATCATAAACAGGGAGTTTTAGACTAATCAGAGATGAGCATAACTGTTAGTCAATGATGCAGTAATTTGTCTTAATCTTGCCAATAAGATTAAAATATCTACGTGCGTTGGGCACAATTGAATTGACTGTTTTTCAAGTATTTTCCTCGAAGACGGGGTGGAATAAAAAAAACTCCAGTTCGAAGATATTATAACATATTTGCCCAGAAAGATTTAGGCTTTTGCTTCAGAGTTCTGAATCAAATCAAGAGTATCAAAATAAAAAGTCTTGGAGATCAGCCATTTTGCTCAGGTTTAAGCTTCAAAGCTCGAATAAGTACTTCTTTTCAGATTTGCTTCAATAGGTTTGGTCCTAGTTTCCCCTGTTCGCTTCCAACAGCTGTTTAAGATATAAAGTAGACTGTGTTTCCGCGTTTTTTAATTCAATTTTATGAATTTTGTTATGGGTATAGCAAGATTTTAATTTTTTCCCTTGATTTTTGCAGCAACTTGAAAATATACTTATAATATATGTATTGACTTCTTTCTTGTGAAGATCTTTATGTTGCTGGCCCATATTGAATTTGTTTTGCTCTGCTCGTTTTTGCAAAATTGCTTAGGATTATTATATGTTTCTTTATTGTTTGCATTTGATTAGTTTTGTGGGTGAATGTGCTTTTGTTTTGTTTTATTGAGAAAAAAAGAGTGACTTTTAGTCTAGTAATTTCAAAATTTATATTTGTGAGATTTCTTGAATTTTGGATTGTTGGATGATTTGGGAGACTGTAAACCTACCGTCACAGAGATGGAAACAGAAGAAGAACTGGTAGCTGCTGCGAAGCAAATCATGAAAGCTCTTGAAACGAAGAAGAATTTGATGGATGATGCTAAGAAAATCTTGTCGAATCTAGGCATGCAGTTGTGTGATATAAATAGAGAGAACGAACAGAAAGACGAGGGAGTGAAAGAAAATGATGGACTTAATGAGATTGTGCAGCAGCTTGATTTGATACAAGATAAGGTTTTGAGTTGGGAGAGGGATCAGGCAATTATATGGGATTGTGGCCCAGAAGAAGCTTACGAGTATTTGAAGGCTGTGGACGAAGCTCGAAAGTTGACTGAGAGTTTGGAGAGATTGAGCTTAAATAATGGTAGTGAAGACACAACACTTCTGCGTAGGGCTCATGATGTTCTTCAGATGGCTATGGCAAGGCTTGAAGAGGAGTTTAAGCACTTGCTAGTTCAGAATAGGCAGCCTTTTGAACTGGAGCATATGTCTTTTCGATCAAGTGAAGATGATATTATGGAGGCAGGGTCTGTAATCTCGTCAGGGGATGATTCACTTGAAGATGTAGTTCAAAGAGATAGTATGAGCCAAGGTCTGGAGGAATACATCATCGAATTGGTACACCCAGATGTGATTCCGGACCTGAAAAGTATTGCCAATTTGATGTTTGACTCGAATTATGGTCAGGAATGTACTCAAGCATTTATTAGTGTCCAAAAAGATGCTTTAGATGATTGCATTTACATCCTTGAAGTGGAGAATCTAAGCATCGAGGATGTGCTTAGGATGGAATGGAATACATTGAACTCCAAAATCAGGAGATGGATACGGGCTATGAAGATTTTTGTGCGGGTCTACCTAGCCAGTGAAAATTTGTTGAGCAAAAAGATTTTTGGAGATCTTGAATCAGTTAGTTCAGTCTGTTTTGTTGAGTCATCAAAAACTGCACTTCTACAACTTCTAAATTTCGGTGAAGCCATAGCCATTGGCCCTCACCAACCAGAGAAGTTGATTCGAATTCTTGACATGTATGAGGTGCTTGCAGATCTTATTCCAGATATCAATACTTCATACTCTGACGACACTGGATCATGTGTTAGGATTGAATGGCAAGACATCCTAAGGAGATTGGGTGATTGTGCAAAGGCAACTTCTCTTGAATTTGAGAATGCTGTTGCCTCTAATGTATCCACAAACCCTTTCCCAGGTGGTGGGGTCCATCATCTCACTAGGTATGTAATGAATTACATCATGACTCTTGCTGACTACCAAGAGACCCTTGATGTGATCTTGAAGGACCACGAGAGAGAAGATCCCATTTCATTCTCCCCCGACATGAGTCCAGTCAGTGAAGAGGAGAGTATTGAAGGAAGCTCCTTGGTTTCTCCAATGGCTCGACACTTCCAATCCCTCGTTGTGATTCTTGAATGCAACCTCAACGACAAATCTAAATTATACAAAGATGATTCCCTACAGCAACTTTTCTTGATGAACAACATACATTACATGGCTGAAAAGGTGAAAGGTTCCAAACTCAGAACAGTACTAGGCGATGGATGGATTCGAAAGCACTATTGGAAATTTCAACAGCATGCAATGAATTACGAGAGAGCTACTTGGAGCTCAATCCTGTCCTTGCTCAAGGATGAAGGGATCCAAAATCCCGGTTCAAGTTCTATTTCGCGGACAGTTCTCAAGGAAAGACTGCAGAGCTTTTATCTTGCATTTGAAGAGGTTTACAAGAAGCAGACAGGATGGTCAATTCCGGATAGCCAGCTTCGAGATGATCTTCGTATCTCAACATCGGTCAAGGTAATCCAGGCTTATCGGACTTTTGTTGGGAGACACATCATTCGTATTAGCGAAAGGCATGTTAAATACACGGCTGATGACTTAGAAGACCGCCTCTTAGATCTTTTCGAGGGATCACAAAAATCATTACATGGTGGACATAAGAAGTGATATTGAAAAACAATATTGTATTTGATTAAGAGATACTCTACCAACATGGTATTGAGATTTTTTTCTCACAATCTGCCTGTCTTTTGGAATGTGTTATAAGTGGTCGAAAGAATGCCATTTTTTTGTAACTTGTCTTCACGTTGTTTTGCTAATAGATGTATTCTTCATATGGTTATCTTGTCTGGCATTGATTTGCAGTCACCTTGTGATGTTTTGATGAATGCTAGTTTGGGAAAAGTTTGGCTAGTTATATCAATGGTTTCCTAGTAATTGATTCCCTCTTGAGCTGTTACAACTGCAAAATCTGTACTAGAACTAGATGGACCTTAAAATAATTGTTTTTCTAATAGATAAGATTGCCAAAGAATTATTCTTTTGGAAGTCACAAGCAATTGTAGCTTTTAATATGTTGAACTGAGTGGAGCATGATTATATTGTTTATTTATCCCGAATATGTAATTTTATTTTTACTTTTAGTTACTGGGAATTCATGCATCTGTATTTCATTGCCGTAGTTACATACTCTATATTAAGGTTTCCAGGTGATGTTTATCTTATGTCAGACGTAAGAGATGTTTGAGAAGATCCTTGTAATTTGTAGGGATAAGTGGATAGAATTTTTACATTGAGGGTGAATCACACTTTTGTGTTTTTCGAAATTAGTGATTGGATCATTAATCCATAAGATTGCATATTCTGGTATCTTTTAGGTATTCACATAGAATGGCAAGAACACGATGACGATGGAGATGGACTCGTGCTTTTGCTATACAACTCTTAATTGCTAAAGAGATGATGTTCAAATTGATTTTCCATGGTTGGTTCTTTGAAATGTGTCTAAGAACAGTTTATAACTGGCATTGATAAATATTGTTAGATACAATCTTAGTCACTAAAATTATGTGGCTGAGAGAAGCTTCTCAAGGCAAGATCCCATAAAAAAGGAAGCTTGTGAAATGGAATGTCTTTTTCTTTTGTCGCTGCGGTTATTTTAATATCTACGTTTACAATCACGCTGTAATAAGATGAAAAACTTCGATAGTAAGGTAAAAGTTACTTTCAACGTGAGTAACGTACTTATGCTTAACTTTGACCAATAAAAAATAATTTATTTAAAAATTTATTGATCGTGTTAATTCCTTATTTTCAAACACGTTTCTTCACTTAAAATTGAAAGTTTATGGTGTCAAGGACAAGCATTAAAGTGAATATGAGTCCAACGTTGATTCTATGAGAATTTTATACTTAGTTTTGAATTGAATTAATTTAACTAAACTTTTTTGATAATTAGTTAAGAGTTGGTTTTAACTAAAATTACTAAAAGAGAGTTCCTTTTAAAATGTTTTCGAGGGTTTTATGGAGAAAAACTGAATGTGTAAAAGCATTAGGACTTCGACTCGAACTATGGTTTTTAGCTTTCATAATTGACCAACACTAACTTGAATCCAGATCAATTCTCCTAATTTATCTAATGATCTCCACTTTCTCGAGTAGGTTTTAACATATTTCAACGAACTTCCAATATCTTTATGAAAGTTGGGAACGCAAAATGCATTAAAATTGGATTCATAACCATGGGTTCTAGTGCACGAGCTCAGAAATTAATGAACATTCAATTAAACAAGTATTTAGTCATGAATTAAAGCTTTGAAAAAGGTTTACATCGTCATTCTAGCAAATAACAAATGAGCCTAGCATGTTTAAATTACAAAAATACGACAGAGGAAAATAATGACTGATTTTGTGTCTTCAATTGTCACTTCAGAAATCCATGAACTATCTTAGGTTTAGGGTTTATGGTTCTTTTGTTTTCTCCCCAAAGAGCTTAACCTATAAAGTCAAAGAGTTCAACTACATATAGTGTGAATAATACATCAATTTTTGTGAAAACAATAGACCAAACACCCTGAATCTCCCAGCTTATGAGCAAATCCGTGTGCAAAAGTTAACCGAGCGAGCCCCTACTCCACTTGAGCGAAGCAAAATCTTTCCTCTGTGTGTGTGATGTTGCTTGTGTCTATTTGAGTGAAGGCTCTATCTTGCTCCATCGGCATAGCCCTTCAGTTCTTCTTTGAGTAGCCTCGCTTAAGGAAGACTCTGGCCTGATCAAGTGAAGGTGTTGGAAACGGCCATTTTTTGAAATAATTTTGAGAGGAACCCATTTCTTGATTTTCAGGAGATTAAAGTCATATTTTCCTTTGCGAAAATATCGAAATCATATATTCACATACTCAAAATGATTCTTGGTGAATGAGAAATTGAAACTTAAAATGCACCCATTGAAATAGTGAAGTGGTGGAAAGAGAGAGTTAAAGGGAGCTTTGTCCCACATAAGAGAAATGGCAAGACATATACTAATTTATATATAACCACATTTTATGAAGGTGTAAGCTTGTGTAACATAGAAACTTTCTTTTGTGCATGCATACTGCTGGTGGATGGGGGTACAAATCACGGATTTAAATATCATATCGGACCATTGGACTTGTGTGCAAGCACGTCCTGCAAATATAAATGTCGACTCGAAACTTGCCCCTTAGCAAGGCTTACAAAGTTTTACAATCGTCATCATGGCGCCCTATCGTAGGAGATCCAATTTCCTGAGTTCAAGACACAAAATGAAAACAATTTCCTTTTTTTGACACTAGAATCTCTCAACTTTTTTTGGGTTATTAGTGTTCTCTCTTGTCCAGAATTCTGGTGTTCTTGGGGATATTATCCTGACAAGTTTCAGTTCGCCAATGTAAGAACTTGGTGCAAAGCTTGTTACTGGTTATACTGTTGTATTCTGAAAGACAAATGCTCAATAAACCTAAAGTACCTAGGTGAGGAGATGAATATGTTTTAAAGACATGGTGTTTACACGAGCCTCAATTTGTTATTCTATTCTTCCCTTTACTTGTTAATTTCCTATTTCTTTTAGTTGTTATTTTCCTATGTATATATTTTGTTTAACGATCTTAAACCAACTTATAAAGATTGAACAACTGATAGAATTTTAAATAAATAAATTTTTTGGTGTTTCAGATATGGCAATCGAATCAATCCCTATTACGATGACTATTGAAAATCAGATTGCAGCTCAATTGTCTAATCCTGTTGAGAACTAAACTATGGCTCAAATAATTGGTCCTACTGTAACAGTTCCCATTCATCATGTGGAAAGATCGGAGAAATTCAATAGATTAAATTTCTCCAGATGACAACATTAAATGCTATTCCATTTGAGAATCTCATAAGATTCTTATAAGGATGGAAAAAAATTCGACAACCCCGAACAGGGTGGGGATTACCCGCTTAATCGAGTATTCAGGTCGGGGACGAGGTAAGGAATTTTGCCCCGGGGGCGGGGACAAGTGCCTCGCCCTGTTTATTTTTTTTTCTTTTTTAGAATTCAATACTTTAAATGAAAAATTTCATTAGTTCTAATAGAAAATGATAATTAAAATTATCTAAAAAATTATGACAAATAATAAAAGCCTTAGTTTACCAAATATAGTTAAATAATTTAACTTATAAAAATAAGTAAAACTTATAAAATATATTGTTGTCTCGGTCTAATG